GAACCAAGAAAAAAAAATTGTATTGAATGACTTATTATTTTCAATCTCCCTTGAAACAATAAGCTAATATTTTCAGAACTAATGCTGGTAGGCATTGCAATTTAGAGTGGATGTTTGCATTCTGCATGTGTTGAAGAATATGTGTGCCAAGTTTCGTTACTATACAATGAATATAAGTTTCTGAAAGGCTGCCCGGAAAACGTGAAACTGTCAGAAAAAATGAAAATGAGAAAAACAAGTTTGAAAGTTCGCAAAGTTGGCATTTATTAGGAAATCATTCTTTTTGCATCAAATTGGGGCACAATGAAAAGTACCTTGCCTTGAATGCACTGGAAGTGTCTAGAAGTCCCCTGCACCATAGCTTGGTCCTTCACAGCTCTTGCGGTCAGTGTCCTCAACACGAGCTCTCTTCGCTGTGTTGCGACGGTGTGCCCTCGCTTCTGCAGTTTGCTTCAGGTTCATCTTCCTGATGCGCATGACGTCACAGTGGTCACCATGTGTGGCCAGATCTTGTGAGGGGAGAATTCCAATGCCTTCGAGCACTTCTTCAAAGCCCCTGTGGCCTTTGTTGTACCAGAGTACAGCAAGAGCGGTGGCTGTCTCCACAGTTGTTCTGGAGGCGAACTTTGTTTTTGGACATAGCAGCCATATCTTGCTGTTCAGCGATTCGGCTGCATCCTGTGTCTTGCCATGAAGGCACCGAATAAGGAGTTTCTCCTCTGTAAGGTACTTGTAGATAGGCATAATTGTCAATCCTTGAGCCTTCGTCAACAGTGGGGTGTGGCGTGGTGCAGGCTCCCCCAGTGCTTCCGCACGCTTGTGCTTGCACCACGAATTTGGTCCCGCGGGGCAAAAGTTGTGGCTACTGGCACCATCACTGGAGCAGCAATGAAAATACGATGCCCATATGGCAGTGTACATATTTCGGACACTGTCCTTGTTGCTCGTGATGGCGATCTTGTAATATGTTTGTAGTTTTATTATTGTCGCATCTTTCAGTTTTTCGCCTCGTGGCAGTGGCGTTGCCAATTTCCGTAGGGCAGTTCCCAAGCGCTTTACAACGTGGTTCGTGCACTCTTCTTTGTCAATGGGGGTGTCACAGTATACATTTGCCTCGCAGACTGCCGTGTAGGCCTTGCTGTCACCATCACTTAGGAAGCTGGTGAATCGCAGTGGAGTTTCATAAGACAAGGTCCTCTGCCATATATTGACAGCTGCCGCAGGTTCCATTGCATGGGATGAGCAGTCAGTGTTTTTTTGGCAAACTGGAAGATGAAAAGCTCGCCATATCTCTTCATCCTCCCCAAGGTCCCTGTGTATACTGCAAGCATGGCAGTAGTTCGAAAGAACTTCAAAATCGAGGCAGAGCCCCGTGTCCAGGGACACGACTGTGCCCACTCCATTGTGGCTTTTATGACCTCTTTTCTGCCAGGTGCCATCAAACATGACTGGCACATCTCTGCCGCTGACTGCGTCCTTCGTGATGTTTCGTGCCTGGTGCAAGTTTTTGCTCACTGCCGTCATCGCCGCACCATGGAGCTTCTTGCAAATGCCGTTGAGTGTCTTGTGATGCATCGGGCTCGGAAGACCGAGAATCGCACAAAATCGTAAAAATTGGTCGTGGCCTGCGCCTATAGCGCGTGCTGCCAGAACTGCCTTCACGTTTACAGCAAAGCTGTCACGCGAGCTGCCGCTGTCAAAACGAGCGCTCGTTCCTTGGTCCCCGGCCGAAGCAGTACGTCTCGACGTGTGCATGAACGAAAGTGCAGATTCAGGGCAATCAGAATTTTGACAGCACAGTTCGAGGAATGCCGAAAGTCCTTTGCGCTTTCCAGCTGCCTCTCGCACGCCGAGCTTCCGTTCGCGGCAGGTTGGGCATTGCGCACCCGCCACAAGTGCCGTCAGCGCATCGATTTCGCAAAGCAGCATGTTCGCAGTAGCAGCATCTACCGGTCTACGTTCACTCTTGAAGAATCCAATCTTCCTTTGGGATGCACTGACGAATTCCACGGCAGCAGCTATTTCACAACCACTGTCGCAGGGTTCGGTGACGGTGTTAGGCTTATCCGAAGTCGGAGCGTCGAGGCGTTGGTCGGGGGCGACATCGTCGTTCGCTGTCGCTTTGCGAAGCGTCCGACGCCGTTTCCCTCGATACTTGTGGCGAGTTCTGAACTTTCGATTATCTGAACTGCACTTCTTCGGGCTTGCCATGACGCAAAAATGCAGAGAAACGCAGAAAAACTCGATCGCGACGTCCGAGGCTTCGCTCTTTTGCCGGAGAGATAGGAGGGGGAGGAGCGTGGAGCGCACCGCCGTCCAATGGCGGCCTCGCGCTGTGTGCCGCGATATTCAAAACGCGTGACGTACGCGTTGTTTTTCTCGTTTTTTGTTTATTCTGCGTGAAGGCACGAGACTGGCTACTGGTGGATTATGAAGGATACAGCCTTCGCAGCATGCGTGCACGATTGCAAATGGCGGCCAACGCGTCGTTTTCGCGACAGGACGACGCGAACTTCGCCGTTTTTCGCGACTTTCGCGCATTTCTCGCGTCACCTCTGCCCACTTAGAAGCATTTTTTGATAATTTCTCGTGCGAATTTCAGCTTGATATTTTCAGAAGTAATAGATTATAGTCCAAGGATGCCAATACAGCCGGAAAAAAAAAGCGAAAATTTTCCGGAAAACCGCGACTTTTCGACCCGCGTCTCCCCTTAAGGCGTGGATCGTGCATCTTCTGTATGTAGTAGCCACCTGTCGTTTTAGTCTTTGTAATGTCCAGTGGGTGGCGGGGCGATACTTGTATATGATGAATATATGATGAAAAGATGCGAGATGGCGGTACTAGGAGTGTTCACTAGATGGACGGACGGATGGACAGACGAATGTACGGAACGGATGGACAGACAGACAAACGGATGGACAGACAGACAAACGGACATGCAGACAGACGGAGGGACAGACAGATTGACGGATGAATAGACAGACAGATGACAAACGGACAGATGGACAGACGGACGGACGGATGATTCATGGTTTACTGATAAAACCCTTCGAAGCTTTGCCCCACTCATCATCCTTCACTTCATGGATATGCTGTGTTTGTTTGGGGGGTTTTTGTTTTGGCGCTGATAATCCACGCAGAATTGTAGGGTTTCATCTTTCTTCACTAATACCACGGGGCATGCCTACGGACTCATGGATATCTGGATGATGTCATCGCATAGCATTTCGTTTACTTGTATCTTTACAGCCTCACAATCTCGCGTTCAAGCACTCTACGGGCTCTGCTGGAGTGGTCGAGCATTTTTATTTGTGATGATGGGATGGTTTGCGACTGGGGTCTGCCGAATTTTCGACGGTGATGAAAAGCAATTTTTGCATTGCAGAAGCAGTGTCCTGAGCTGTTCTTTCATATACTTTGGATGGCTCGGATCAATGTCAAAAGCCGAGGGAGGGGCTTGGTTCCTCGGAGCAGGTTTTGCTCAATCTGTGAGGGTGAAAGCACCGGTGACTTTTGTGCCTTTGTTTAAGTCTGTGTACTTGTTGCTTTGCCTCCCCGCAGCTCAGCAGATTCATTGCATCGCGGGTGACCAACAGGTGTTGACTGCTTTCAACGACGCCTTCCACGTCTGCTGTTTTCGGAGTGCAGACTGAAATATTGACGCTGTAGCGAGGTAGAATGGTGACTTATACTTCCAGCACATTCAAGGCATGGTTTCCTGGTGGTATGTGTGGCGGTAGTGCTTGTTTTGTGGATAGTGTTATTGACTGTTCTCATGTCGATGACTGCGCCATGGAGGCTTAAGAAGTCCATACCAATGATGACATCTCTTGAGCAATGCTGTAGGACTACGAAGCTAGCGGGATAGATCTGGCTGTTAATGATGGCTCTTGCTGTGCAGATTTCTGCCGATTTTACTATGTAAACTTCAGCTGTGCGTATTTTGGGGCCTTCCCAAGCAGTCCTAACTTTCTTCAGCTTCGCGGCGACGTAGTGGCCGTCGATGAGAACCTCGAGGTTGCTAGTTCGTCGCCTTGCGTTGTAGTTGTGTTGCGGTGTGGCGTTGTGAGGAGCCAGAGTTTCTTCTCAGACTTGGGAGGGTCGGCGTGACGGAACATGCGGGTCATTTCTTCAGTGTACATACCAACGTTTTTGTTTTGTTTGGGAGCTGTACACCGCTTTCCAGAAGGGTTTGCACACTTTCCTTACGCACGACAGTGGTGAAGGTTCCGAGGAACGAGGCGTTAAATAGATCCCAGGTCCTCGTGGTAGCCTCTCTGTTTTCCAACCAAGTCCTGGCTCCATCTTCAAGGGCAAAGTATACGTGATGAAGCTTCTCGTCACGGTCCCAGTGGTTGAATTGGGTAACTCGGTTGTATTTTTCCAACCAGCTTTTCGGGTCTTTCGGAAAGTTGGCCGTTCTCTTGGTCGATTCGTGATGACTCTTTGAGGTGACGCAGCGGCCGTCGTGATGCCTCTCATCTTTGCCGTTGTGGTACTTGGCTTGTCAGGCAGAAGTCCTAATTGTGGTGGCAGATCTTGTAATTTGCAGCTGGCTCAACTCTCCTCTGTGTTGTCTGTTATTTCTTGAGTAGTTCGGCTGGGTTCACAGCTTGACAAGGGGCGCCCGGAACACGAATGAACAGCACCTCCACCGTGTCAGATGTCAAGTAGTTGTGACTTGGCCAAAGGCGGCAGACGGCATGCCAAAAAAGAAGCTCTTTATTTGGCTGAACTTCTGGCCTGAAAACTGGAGGTCAGACTACAGCAATACACACTGGCTCTGATAGCGGTGAACAGAGCGTCGGCCGTCGATCAACTGACAAGCGGTGTTTATGGTTCAGTGTTTATGGTCAAAGCAAGCCAATGAGAATGAGCTGTGTGACCAAACTGCAGGGAATGAATGAGTCAGCCAGAAAGCTCACTAAGGGATTTAGCTAAAGAACCTTTGTTGAGAATTAGGGTGAGCGTGTAACAACAGCGAGACTGCTTTCTCCTAGGGTGTGCGGCCCCAGTGCTTTGACAAGGTGGAGAGTGCAGAGCTACGAGACATCATCGGCCAGTGCATACGGCTCAGAAAAGAGGAAAGGTGAGCCCCCTTATAAATCACTCTAAACACCACAACATGCCCAGTGTGGCATCTAGGCCAGTTTATGGATTTGCCTTTTTCACGATGCGACAGTGTATGTGCCATTCCCCTAGGTCAGGCAATGCCCTTTCATTTTGGCTTTCTCTCTGGCAGTACCGGTTGACCTGACCCCTACCAAAACTGCAGAGGGCAGCAGAATGAAACTATTAATTAAAGCATATACGAGTTCTGCTGACTGATACAACATTGCTACAGTAAACAAGCATGCTTGAATTGTCACGCACTGTCCTGTGCACACAATGTCATATGTAAAGGTATGTGTAGTACCAACTGTGTGCATAGCTTACTGCTGGCACCAGATTCTCTTCAGAAGTTTCCGACATCACTGTTATTTCTCATGCACGGGTTCACGTTTACAGTATTTTAACCAATTGAAGGGTACCATTGAAGTAAAATAATTTGGCTCATGAGGCAGGAACGAAAAAGTTGTCACAACCCCTGTAAAGTCGTGTTCCCCTCGTGGTGCACAAGCGTTTGGCGGATTAGTCGTAGCTTGCTTAAATGTCGCAGAGCAAACGATGGCTCTGTACTGACTCAACGTAACTTTGGCGTGGCGGTGCCAGCAGCCCTAGGTCCTCAAAACTTGTGGAGTTCACTCAGACTCACTCATGAAATATATAGGACTCACTCGGAGTACTCACGAAAAATTTCAACTGGACTCACTCAGATTCGAACTCGCCAAAACATTACTCCCCGGACTCACTTACGATCTTAGTCTGAGAGAGTACGAAGACTCGTAATTATGTTTTTCTACCATGACGTTCAAAACATCTCGTGTAATCGGTTTTTGGCGCCTTTCTATATTGTACCTTCAGTTATCACAAACCGGCAAGGTGATTTTTTTGAAAAGAGATGACAACATAAGACAGATTTATCAAGAAACTGCCTTGGGGAGCGGTGTCAAATCCCTCCCTTATGTAATTTGCACCTCTGATCAATAAATATTGTAATAAAGACACTGCTTTAGAATATGTAGATGCGAGGATGAATGTGCATCCAGGTAAGGCCGATAGTAATACTGAAGATGAGCAAAAAAAAAGTGGTATCGCTCAAGAAATATATCGTGCGCTTTGTACTTGCTCGGACTCGCAAAAATTTTTTTCAACCGAACTCATGCAAACTCGCCAAAATATTTCTGCTCAGACTGACGGCCTAATCTGAGGCTGAGTGAGTTGGACGGCTGTCTCTCGAGGGATGCTCGTGGGGACGACTTCTAGACCTATTTCCCACGGGTGAACTTAATGCTAGCTACTGCACATTCACAGTATCTGTTACGTTGTTTAGTGTGCTCAGCATTATTTGTCTTTTCACCTTTGAGTTCTTAGGCGTTGTAAAAGCCATTAATAAATGTATGCCACGTCATGACGGTGTGTTCCATGAGCACGACTCATTTTGACCTTATGCTCAACGAATAACATGAGCATGTTGATGAGGCTTTCCTTGGTTCTGATGAGTCCTGTTTGTGCATTTGGATAAAGTGGTCAATTTCGGGTCAGCATGTTGTCAGTATTGAGTCATCGTCGCAAAGTAGAGTACCTCGGAGCAACTAGCTCGTGGTAGTAAAACAAAGCAGTCGCACATGGCTGCCCCACTCCATCAGTCTAAAGACATGCACCTGTCAGTCTGGCAGAACAAAGGGAGTGATGCTAGACATCTGTTTTTGTTGTTTGCCTTGACGTAAACAGATGGGACCACTGTTAAAGGCAACACTTGCGTGCACAGCGTGTTTGGATTTCACTCTCTTGCAACAGCGTAATGACTTTGATTTGCGTCAGACTATTGGTGAATGACAGTTCTGACAGTTCTGACTAGTGCCATGCATGAACATTATTTCCCAATCCACTCGCTGTTAAAAGGCCGGTAATATGGACGGTGCTAATTGTGGTGTTCCTTTTAACAGTGGACCGCACTGTACATAAAATGTAGTGTTAGCACATATACTTTTAGTGCGACATTCCTAGCAGGTGAAACATAAACAGACTAACATGAAAGCACTGAAAGTAAGGTTGCTTCACAATGATGCACACTCAGGTCTTGTTCGAGGAATGAACGCAACTCGGAAAAAAGCAGTACTGGCAGGCAGTGCCATGTACATTGCTGAGTGTTGCTTGAAAATTTATTGCAATGCTCATAATAAATACAAAATACCCACTTACTAATTAAAATGATGCTACGGAAATGTACTAGACAATTGCCGTGGTGTTGTTTTGCTATACATATGAAGAGCAGTGATTCAGTAGGTCTGAAGTCCAAGAATGACCGTGTGTTAGGAGCTTGAGCTTATTTCACAATATTTTCATTGTTTGCATTTTAAGAACACTTGTTCATTCTAAATGATAAAAGCTGTGGTATGGAATGTAATTGTGAAGCTTTGAATCAAACTCAACAAAACAAGGTAGAATTGTGGTGTAAATCAAGGGTTCCCATTACCATAATATACATAAACAGAGTGCGTATACATTGTAACGAGAGAAATAGACTGATTGTTTGTGGGTTTTTCCATCTTGCTTCGTCTTTCTCCTCCTCTGCTAGCCGAACGCGCGCCCATGCGTCACGTCATCCACATTACAACACTAAAATAGGCACTAAAAAGAAATCAAAAAAACATAACGGGGAATGCAGCAGTTTTATTGAAGAAAAGGTGAAAAGAATTTAGAAACTGATAATACAGTGTTTTGCTAAGATAGTGTGGGAGCATTTGTTTACCTTGATTGTCTGCTGGTTGTCGTATATGTCTTCTCACAGTGATGTTAAGAAAATAAGCAGAAGTTATTGTTTTTGAAGAGGAGGTGCAATGACCATATATTCAAAAAGGCTGTGTGGTAGGGTTTATTTTGCATCTAGGAACCATAATTTGTTCACAATCAAGCGACCTTCTTGTACTCAGTTGGAGAGTGAGACAAGGTGCTGCATTGTAAGCAAGCTGCCTTCAAGGGCCCCTAAACCACCCAGAGTTCAAAATGGTGTTGCAGTTCTGCACGAGCTGGCAACAGAAGGCGCAAGATTTTTTTTGAAATGGTGCTGTAACTGGCACCTTTCGCTTGTTTCGTTATTTCATTGTCACGCTGTATTCGCGGCTCCCCTTTGGGCTCCTCCTTGGTGGTTGCTGTAGAGTTGCTGTATATGCTACCTTTCCTAAAGATAGCATATACGGTAGTAACTCTAACGACCAGATGCGTCGATCGACATCGCTGGAGATTAGGGGTGTGTGAATATTTGAATATTGCGACCGTAATACACTCATACCTCGTTATAACGTAATGGGATATAATGAAATAATGGATATAACGAAGTAAATGAAATTCCCCTTGAAAACTTCATTGAGAACCATGCATTTTAAACCTCTTTGTAACGAAGTAAAACTGATTGGTAAATGGATATAACGAACTAAATTAGTCTATAAAATAGTCCATCAAACAAGAACTGACCTAGTGTGTTAAGTATATCGTTTTCTGCGGAGTTTGACGCTCGTTCGGCGCGGCTCTTTCAAATTTTCTGCGCTGACCTTATAGCCACGCCCCACGCGGCCGAGAGAGCCGTCCTTCTCACACAGCCAGTGAAGAGGATTGAGGAAGCACTCAGCGGGTCACATTTCTGAGAAGCGGCGCCGCGGTGCAAAGTGATTTCCATCTTACGACGGCATGGAGGAAGGAAAATGCTTTTCTTCCTTCTTACGGGCACGACGGCAATGCCTGCGTCTCCGCTGCTACCATGGCTGCTACCCTTTGCATTGAGAAAAGAGGACTCTCCGCGACAGCTTTTTTTTTTCATTCTCTCTCCACGTGCGGCCTTGAAAAAAAAAAAAAAAAAGGGTCTCTTCGTGCAGAGATGGAAAAGTGTGGTGGTGGTAGTGATTAGAAGAGGAAAAAAAGCACCCAATTTCTGCAGCCCGGTTGGGAGCACGGCGCAGTGCCTTGAAAAGGCACTGCGCCGTGCTCCCAACCGCGATCTGCGACACGCCTGTGGAACAGGCGTGTCGCAGATCGGCATTTGAGAGAGAGTAAACAATCTGCCAGAGTCTTTTCTTTCCTTTTCTTTTCCTTCTTCGCGCGCAGCGTTGAGAGGTGCCGCTGTGGGATTGGGCATGGTGCTGAAAACATTTTCGGAGCGCGATATGTTCGAATTAACCATTGCAAATGCTTGCGCGTTCGAATTACAGGCCGTTTTCACCCATTGAAATACACATAGCTTTGTCGGGACCTCAGCATGAGTTCCAATTACCCGAAAGATCGAATTAATGAGATTCGACTGAACTTATTTGCTGCGGCACGCCTGGTCGCGTAGCGATACATTGGGCTGCAAGGGGGTTTCCTTATAGGTGTGCGCCCACATGAGGATACATTGCCACAAACTGTTATAATCGATATAACGAAATAATCGATACAACGAAATAATTGTAGCTCCCCTTCAACTTCGTTATAACGAAGTTGAATGTTTGAGTGTATTCGTATCTGATTCAAAAGCACATATTCGGAAATTTCAAATATTCAGTTGCTTCTGTAAATAACTTTCGATTTTGCACCTTTGCGATAAGTGCATCAACAATAGACCATGCAGTGATTACTGCGACTTCGGTGCGAGTGCTATGATGGCTACACAAAAATGCACGAGGGCGGGATGACAGCTGCCAACGAATGTGCTGGCTCATTATCGAGACATATCTATCAATAATAAACATCTAAGGAATGTAGATCATGAACTGTCTCCTCGGCTATTCGTGTGGCTTAGTGCCATTGGTTGCTGCACCTTCGTGCATGCGAACACTTCAATAAAGTGTGCGCCATTCGTGGAAATCAAGTCAACTTGCCGCCCCTGCATTGGCCCGACAGAATACTCATTATACCTTAGCACACTCCGTAGCTGATCAAACACAAAGGAAAAATGTCACTGCGCAAAGGCAAATGCACACGTATGTTACAGTGAGTGGGGCTGACAAAGTGAGCTTAGTAGGCGACACACTGCACGCAACTAGCTAGAGGCGCTCAGCTTGAATATGCAGCAGGTAACGGGTATCAGGTGTAGCTAATCGATCTCCACAAAAACTTAGGCGCACACATCGACGAAAGCCTTCCATCAGCATGTATTCCCTGTAATGATCTGATGGTAGCGTGCGATCATGCAAATTAGGTCAGGTGTTTTACAAAGAAAAGGCCTTTCTGTAAAGTGGCGGTGGCACCATGACATATTTTTCTGTTGCTAACGTATGGTGACGTAAATTGAGGCAGTTACTGTGTAGTTACACTGCGTTTTCCCTACAGTGCTGCAGCCGCGTTTACAACAGTAGCAAGCTGCTCACATACGATCAATAAAGAATTGGACAGTTGTTTGCACATGTCCTGTGTGTACTTGGGCGTTCGCTTTGTGCGTCTTTCTGTTTGAGCAGCGTGCTTTAAGTGTCGAGCTGAGGCAGTTTGTCCGCGCTCATCCTGTGTATGCTCATTTCGTGCATGAAGTACATGCTATAAGCTGCTTGCCGATATTCGCATGAGATTGCAGTTTGTGGCCCAATGCACAATAAGCTCCTAGCTACCTCTGTGAAGACATGTTTCATGTTATACTGATTCGGATCAGCCACCTTTTTTGTAACAAAGTTCGACATGTAAAATCACAGTCGCACGATCAACTATTTAGTGCAGTCATATGCTTCCTAGGAAATACATATGGTGGCATTTTTTTGTGCAAGAGCAGACTAGTGTAGCTAACAAATGTACTGTTTTAAACAAAATAATGGTAAAGTAACATAATACTGGTCAAAAATGTTGCATCTCTTGATTTTTCTATTTTCAAAGCTATGCATTTGTATTCGAAGAATTAGATATTCGGACACCCCTACTGGAGATTTCAAAAGGTCCACAGAGGTGCAGGGGATTGTTTCTTGGAATCGTTTGGCCCTACTGATTCATGCTGGTATTCCAAAAAAAAGGGAAGGCTGGGGCGAAGATGTGAAGAAAAAAAAATATTGGCGGTGGTTTTGGGGCTCTTAAATTTGTCGAACTATGAGCATTACACTCAGCTTTTGCAATAGAAGGCAATTCATTTTTTAGGTATGAATAATTTTTGTTCAGATTGCCATTTCTGCATACCAAAAGACTATAGTGTGATTGGGAACAGAGAAGCAAGTTGTACATTGTTAGTTTCTTTGTAACTGGAAGAAAAGAAGGGCACTTTGGGCACACCTAAAGCTTTATCTTGTGCCTGACCATTTTGCTATGGAAATCTCACAATAACACATACTCATAAAAAACAACTCCTGTGGCTTTAGCTGTTGAAGAAAAAATCAGTGACAGTATTATTCAAGTATAATTTTCTGGTAGCAGCCTGTGTGGTTTCTTTTGAAAGAGTGGCCTTAGTTCATAAAAGGTTTATTAGTAAAGTGCTAATAATTGATAATACATATAGTCACTTATTGTTGCATCAGCTGCTGAAGCAAGGTCATAAGCATTCATTCCTGTGTGGTTGTATCATCTGTCTATACGACAAGATACCTGCGAAGTCTGCGAAAAAATTTGGAAAATCGGGAAGACTCGAATTTTGACCATTTCTGATATTTGTACGGTTGTCATGAATATCTTGCAGAAATAAAAATTTTTGTGCATGATCTGGCCGCATTGACAAAAACGCAGGACAATCCAGTCGATACGTGTTTGCTAACTGATCGCTTTTTGTTATAGATGAATTTAAGAGGCGTTCATGAAAATGCACAGTAGAATGTCAGTGATGCGAAACGGGCAGATACGAATTTGTGAAATTCCTCGGCCAAACTATTATCTCTTCATTGGGCTGAGGCTCATATGTTCTGAACACTTTTCCTGATTGCTGCGGAAGATATGAAATTAAATGCTGAAACCGCCGAACGAAGGCTGAGAGCAGTGTGCTCGATGCTTGGGAAGTACGCTCGCAGCCAGCGCACGCACCATCTTCTACAGTGCGTGTGGTCGTTGTTTGTCAGAACTGCTGTGCACGAAACTGCGGTCTCTTCAGACACCGTCGTATATGAAAATGACGTAACTGACAGAACTTGGAAAGTGTGTGCACGTCCAACACTCGACCAGTCAAAGTGACTCTGCTTTCCGCAAACTCTGCAGACAAAACCACGACAGATGTGTTATATATAGTTAGTTTTAAAGGCATCTGCACAGCCAGCGCATGCGAATTTAAAATGCTACTACCCTTTGCCGCAACCGCCGCGCACAATAACTTTGTGAGGTAGTGTTCTGATTCATCTCCTCGAATGCTTGTCATAATTAATCTTAAGCCTCCACACGTGTGGATGTGGACATTGTGGCTTTGGCATCCAATTTCATGGAGTTTAATAGAAAAAAAGTATAAATGGCCTAAATTCAAGCAAGTTCAGCCAGAAACTAGAAGATGGGGACACACACAGTGCTTTCAAGACTCTCATCCCATTACAACCCCTTAATTGTGATTTTTGTCCAGCTTTGAAACCACTGCCCTCTCGGCATGCCCTGCAGTCACTTAGACACACAACTTCACGATTACCACTTGTGTTGGCTAATTCTTGAACGTTCAACCTAACCAGTGCATTTCTGCTTGTGAGAAACACGGTGCCTTTGACTTTAGGTATGGATCTGCCCAACGCTGCATCTCTCATTATTTCTTACAGACCGCATACAAAAGTTCGTGGTGCTTGTTTGTTGCACGAGATATATACGAGGTGTGTTAGAAAAGTGATGAGAGTCTGATAACGCTGTGTCGAATGGCTTGTGCTAGACCCGTTTGTTTATCTCTTCCACTTCCTCAGTCCAAGTTACAACTCTGTAGAGCTAACAGAGTAGTTATCACAGCGCCGTAAGTGCAGTTGTGTTTTTATTGTGTGTTACAGAGATGAACCATAGGAATTTAGAGCAGCAGTGTGCCATAAAGTTTGTGTTAAACTTGTGAATTCTTGAGTATGACATTGGAAATGGGGAATACTGCTTATCAAGACTATAAGTTTCGCGCTGACACAAGTAATTTTTGGAAGGCTTATGAAACAATAAAAGCTAGACAAGCGGATGCTTCATCATGATAATGCACAGTGTCACACAGCCCTTTCCATTAGAATTTTTGACCTAAAAATGCATTACAGTTGTTGCCCCTGTTCACCTGATTTGAGTCCTTGCAGCTTTTCTCTTTTCCCGATATTTAAACATGTTCAAAGAGGACCCCATTTTAGAAATATGCAAAACATTCTAAAGACTGTGACCGATCAGGTAAGCCATACCACTTGAGGACTTCCAGTGCTGCTACCAAGAGTTGGAACTATAGCTGCGCTAGTGTATAGCTCCTCCAGAGAACTACGTTGAAGGGGGTAATGTTGTTGTTTCGAAAAACAACAACGTTGCTACAAACTCGCTTTCATTACTTTTTAAACTCATCTCGTATATGTGTGTGTATATATATGTACACGCATATGTGCATGTACACACACACACACGCAGACACACAGTTGAACCTTGATATAATGAAATTGACAAATTCCTGAAACAATTTGTTCGAAACAAGTTTTTGTTATACAGTTTATGCCCGAAAATTGAGAAAAGAAATGCATAAATTAAACGAAAGGTGAAGTGAAGGCAGAGGTTGCGCAAAATGCCTATTTAGTGGCAATAAACTTGTTCGTGAGAGATAGCAATACTGAACATTCATAGGGCAAGAATACAATGCTGCTCCGTCTACCTGAGAGCAGCAGCGAGAGCGTGCACGAGCTGGGACTGGCATTGCCAGAGGGTATCTCGGAAGTTATCCTATTTTAAATGATTCTATGTGAAGGAAGTTCGACATGTGGCACTGTGCTGCAGGCCGACCGTCAAGGAGCTTCTGCAGCTGGACTTCTTCCAGGAGGACATGGGCCTCAAGGTTGAGTTTGTGAACCGCGAGGAGAGCCTGGCTGGCAGTGCGGACAAGGTGGAGCTGCGGCTGCGTGTGCTGGATCCTAAGAAGCGCAAGGACAAGCACCGCGAGAACGAGGCGATCCAGTTCGAGTTTCACGTGGAGAACGACAACCCGGACGAGATAGCCAAGGCCATGGCGCTGACGGGCATCATCATGGAGGAGGACGCCCGCATCGTGGCCATGCTGATTCGCAACCAGATTACCGCCCTGGTGCGCGACCGACAGCACTTGCAGGGGCCCACCACAGTGGTTAGCTCTCTCTTTATTTGCTCTTGGTGCTGTCTTTTTAGACTAGAATGGTCTTTGCACAGAAACCCTATGGCAAAGCGGAAATATTTTGCCGCATTCAAAGTGGCATTGAAATGACTGAAAAAATCTTCTAACCTTTCGAGGGTCGAATTTTTTGCCAAATTCAGTCCATAAATCTAAATATTTCATTGCTAAAATGAATTACTCAGGTGATACCATTAAAAAACATTGTCTAAAATTTTTTTGGTGGTCAGCAAGTGACAAAAAGGTCGTTTTTCTTGTTACATGCATATAATTGTATTAACATCATGAAAGTCTTAAAAAAATTAAAAAACTGATACAATTATAAATAAAAATTATGCATTATACTAAACGTAGCTCATAGACATACAAAAATAAGTGCACCAGACTATTTTTCGAGTAAGGAGAGAGAGAGAGAAGTAACTTTATTGGCACCCGTCAAATAGATGATGGGGTAGAGGCGTCAGCCTAAACCCACACTCATCCTCCCTAACCGTTGACCAGGATTCCTTGGGACGTGGCGGTGATCAGGGCTAGGCCGATGACTTGCCGTTGAGCATTTTCTTCTTCGTTGAGTAGTAAGGACTCCCAGGATTCTCTGCATCTGTCTAGCTCATCAAAGTTAGGGCAGCTCCAAACCATGTGGACTAAGTCCGCTGTACCATCGCGATACCTACACCGAGGGCTATACATCGAGGGATACCACTTGCTCAACAATTGTGGGTTCGGAAATGCCCCTGTTTGTAACTTTTTCCACATAACTTCCTCGCTTTTTGGAAGGTTCTTATGTGCTTTCGGGTAAGTGTTATGCCCCAGCTTATAATGGTTAAGAATTTCGTTATAAGTGCTCAGTTCGTCAGCGGTCTGTAGGGGTTCCTCGCTTGGGGATGTTGTCGAGACACCGCTGGAATCCCGGAAAGTGAGACCTCGGGCCAGCTCGTGCGCCTTATCGTTCCTTTGCAAACCCTAATGAGCCGGTGTCCAGATTAGCGAAACCTGTTTCGCCGGGGAAGGTCCGATGGCTAATATCGTATATACTCGCATAATGATTGCACTTTTTTTTAATAATTGACTCCAACTTGCGGGATGCGATCATTATGCGGGGTAAATTTTCCACGAAAAAATATTCCGATCACTGAAAACGCAAAAAAGTCGCTAATCAGAATTCTTACGATAACTATCATGTACATAACCAAAAATAAAAGTAAATTAAGGCTTACCTTTGTAATAAAATTCACGCATTACGCAGAAGCTACACGTATGGCACACTGCCCTTTTATTTTTTAACCTCTCTGACCACCTAACGTTCACTCAGACTCCGAAGTGTCACTGGCGTCAGTGTAGTCGCCGCACGATTCTCTGTCGGAACCGGCAGTGTCTTCACTGTCCCACAGACGGTCATCTTCCGTTCCGTCGAGCGCGTTGGAAATGCCAGTCTTTTTGAAGCTCTTGACGACCACCTCGTCGGAAATGGTACTCCACGCTTCGAGAATCCATGAGCAGAGGACTTCCATGGACGGTCTCTTGATTTTGCCACTTGGCGTGAAATCGTGGTTGCTCGCCGCCATCCACTCTGCGTACAGCCTTCAGACGTTGTCCTTTGACGGTTTGTTCAGTGACACGTCCAGAGGCTGTAGCTGCGAAGTTAGACCCCCAGGGATCACTGCGATTTCCATGCGCCGCATCTTCAGCTCGGTACGGACAATGTCAACGGGATGGCCTCGAAAACTGTTGAGCACAAGAAGTGAAGGAAGCAGAAGTGCTCCTGCTCTTCGCCCCCAAACCGTCTTGATCCAATCGACCATGAGGTCTGCCGTCATCCACCCTTTCACTTGAGTACGGATGGGGATGCCATGGGGAAAATTTCCCTCCGGAATTGTTTTCCATTTCAGAATAACATACGGCGGCAGCTTCCGCCTGTCTGCCGTCACTGCGAGCATCACGGTGCATCGCTGCTTCTCCGCACCACACGTTTTTATGAGGATGCTTCGAGCACCTTTCTCGTTCACAGTAGTGCTTCGAGGCATGTCGAACGTCAATGGCGTTTGGTCGGCGTTGCCTATCTGTGACCGCAGGAAGCCGTTCTTCTGGCGTATCCTCGTGACAGAAATCGATCACCTTGTGTTCGTATGTGGATGGAAGTCGCTGGCACAACGACATCCGCCACCTCAGCGACAGTCCATTCCGCTGCATGAAGCGTGTCGTCCAGCCGGAACTGGCGCGGAAGTCCTTTGTGGCTATTCCCAGCCTCCTGGAAACTGTGTGTGCCTGCGTCCGTATCATCTCTAACGACACTGCACAACCGTCCTTGCGCATGTCCTTCACGTTTGTGAACTGCGTTTTCCATCTCAGGTAACTTGCCAGATTTGGGTCCGCCAAAAGCCTGTCGCATGCTGTTAGTAGCCATGAGCTTGTGGCACTGTTTTTTTCCAATATCGGATTTGGATTTCGTCGACGCCGAAATGTCTGGTGGCAGCGCGGTTGCCGTGCTCTAGCGCATAGTCAAGCACCTTCAGCTTGAACGTGGCAGTAAAGCTCGCATACCGCCCCATAGTGAAACGGCGCTTCAACAGACGATCACAAAGCACACGCACACACACACACAAAACGTGGTCTCAGGAAAAAAACATATCTGCGGGATGAACACAGGTCGACCAACAGGCGGCCGCCGCGGTAACAGTGCGGGATGTCAAAACAAACATGGCGGCTGACGGAGCGAAGTGACCGCATTTTTTTCTTCTTTTCGTCAATTATAGAGGTTGTGAGTACGTCACACGCGTCAAAACGGTTTCTTCTATCTAAATAAGCGATGCTTTCATTTAAATCAGTAAATTTACGGCATTAGCGTAGTGATGCCTGCTTTCAGATAACAGAAACAATGATAGGCGCGTTCAGCTGCCACAGACATAAAAACCACATGGCGGGCATTCAGTGAAAACAGCGGCATTTGCCCTTACTGCAATCCTAAATGGCACGTTACCGCCAACGGTGGGCAAAAATTAAGAATATGTTTGGGGCATGCAGTTGGCGAGTTTCATTCGACAGTTAATAATGACGATGATCATCAGCGAGACTTGGCACACAATATATCGATGCGGGAAGTTCGGGGTGCGATCATTACGCGAGGGAAAAAAAATCGCATTTAGACGACAAAATTTAGGAGTGCGATCATTACGCGAGTGCGATCATTATGCGAGTATATACGGTATGTGTACAGCTGCAGCAGAGATCCTGCCCGCATCAAAATTTATGATTGCAGATTTTGAATCACTAACAATAACTCTCACATTCTTTTGAGTCAAAGCCAGCACAATGGCTACTTCTTCCGCCTCCGTTGCTTCTAAATGTCTCACGCTGCAGCACGAGGCAGGGCCTCTGTTCTCGCGTGTAACTTTGCCTTGCTTCTATTCGGCCGCGTCCGTGTAAATCACATCCTGCCTACCTTCCAGGCTTTTCTGTAACGCCTCAGCTCTGTCCTTTCGCCTGCTCTCGTGATGCACCAAGTGCATATTCCTGGGCAACGAGAGTATTCGTAGCCTGTCCCTGACTCCCGGTGTGACTTTGCCTGTCTGCTTGAAACACGCCTGGGGCTCGAACCCCAGCCGCTCCAGGATCCTTCTACCAGTCTGAGTGCGCAGCAGTCTCTGATATTGCGATACTGCAGCCGCTTGAATGTGCTCGTCTAAAGTGATGGACACCCCTACACTTAAGATTTTGTTCGTTGATGTGTTTGGGGGAAGTCCAAAAGCCGTCTTGACCCCCTTCCTAATAATGATTTCGACCTTGTCTTTCTATGCTCTGGCGAATTTCAGGTAGGGGGCTACATATACAATCCTGCTAATTAGAAAAGATTGCACTAACCTTAGGAGGTTTGCTTCCTTCATACCCGCATGTTCATTTGCTATTCGCTTGAGTAATCGGCACGCCTGGTTGGTACTCGCTTACAGTCGCTGGATGGTCTCGGCGTTTTTGCAGTTCGCTTGAATGCGCAAACCCAAGACCCTGATATTGTCGACAGTGCAAATAATCTTACCGTTTACTCTCAGCTCGATGCTGTGCCCTGCGTCCTGTCTCCTTCCTCGTCGCCTGCGATGTTGGGAAAAGGTCTTCCCACTTCTCCACCGAGCACCTGAAGCCAATTGGCTCCAGATATTCCTCGATAGCTTGGATTGCCCTCTGCAGCATCTCGTCGTTGTGCTTGTCACTACCTCTGCTCATCCATAGCGTCAGATCGTCCGCATGAAGTGTATGATTCAGTCCTATGCCTGCCAGCTTCCTGAGGAGACCTATCATCCCGATGTTAAATAAGGTGGGCGACAGAACTGATCTCTGCAGCGTACCCTTGCTTCCCAGTTTAATACCTTTCAATGACTGCCCTCCCAAGCTGATCGTTGCCGTTCTGTACGTAAGAAATCCTTTACATAATTGTAAGTCTTTGTGCCTAAATTGAGACCTCCGAGACTCTCCATTATGGCCAAATGCTTTCGAAATTATATAACCCTACGACTATCCTGGTGTCTACCGTTTTTCTTGTCTATCACCTGTTCTTTGAGCTGAAGCATGACGTCGCATGCTGATAGATGAGACCTAAAGCCAACCATGGTGTCGTGGTACAGTCCCTGATCTTCTAGAAATCTATTCAGCCTGCTCTGAATAACATGTTCTATTAATTTGCCCATGCACGAAGTAAGTGAAATGGGCCTGAGATGTTCAAAGCTAGGTTTCTTTCCAGGCTTTGGAATAAAGACAAGGTTGGCATCCTTCCACGCCAGTGGAAGCTGCACTCTCTTCCAACAGTCCTGCATATATGCTGTCAGATTTTGACTGCCGCATCGTCCAGATTTCTGAGCATCTTGTTGCTAATCCTATCTGGCCCTGCAGCTGTATTCGTTCTCAAGTGGTTTATTTCGACCCTGACCTTGCATACCGTGATCAGGTTGTCAAGATCTGGGTTCTCTAAGCCCGAATACTCAGGCAGTGACTCCGACCCCGTGCAGCTGAATACCTATCCCTAATCTCAGAGATGAGCTCACCAGGTCGTTCCTTCATATTTGTAAACGAGCTTATGTAGCTGCTTCCTAGACTCTAGCTTGGATTTGTCCGGATCTAGCAAGTGTCAGCAGCAGTTACCAGGTTCCTTGCACTGCCTATTTGGTGGTCCATTTGGTCAGAAATGCTGTTCCAGTTCTGCTTGGTGAGTGTTGAAGCATATCCTTCTATTTCCTTGGTCAACGTAGCCGATTTCCTGCGGATATTTCTATTGCCTCTTTTTTGAACGATTCTCAAATTGAGCTCTTGCTTTTTGCGCCACAGGTTTATCATGTGTCTATCAACCCGTTTCTGGTTCTCATCGACCTTGATTTCCTCAGTTGCATCGTGGACCTATCGAAGAACTCCCTTGCTCCATTCGTCTATGTCTTCAATGCCATCCTGGTCGAACCGACTATTCCTGAAAGCATGCCAATTCACAGTTTCTAGCTTCTTCGTGCAAGCTACTGAAGGACCTTCTTCCGTGACTATCTCAATTATTCTGTAGTCGCTACCTAGATCTTCATCCGTATTACACCATGTGGGTCTAGTGGCTAAGGTACTCTGTTGCTGGCCTGCCGGTTGCGGGATCGAGTCCCTGCTGCGGCGGCTGCATTTCCGATGGAGGCGGAAATGTTGTAGGCCCGTGTGCTCAGATTCGGGTGCACGTTAAAGAATCCCAGGTGGTCGAAATTTCCAGAGCCCTCCACTATGGCGTCTCTCATAATCATATAGTGGTTTTGGGACGTTAAACCCCACAAATCAATCATTACACCATGTGGCCGAGAGCTCGCCTCCAATCAGAGTGAGGCATGGCGCAGTGTCTTGCGAGACACTGTTACTCTGTCTAGTTGACCTCAAGGGATCCGTCCAAAAGGGTCAGATCCATTCTGCTGTATGCTATTCCATAATTCTCTCGCTTTAACCTGCGCAAACCTGTATCCCCTTGCGGGGCAATAAGCAATGAAGTCACCCGATACGAGGAGGGGTTTGTTCTTCGCGATCATCTTGACTTTGGCGAAAAGATCGTCAAAACCACAGTTACGCCTTTGCTTAGGGGAGCTGTACACGTTTAATATAAAAGATTTTTATCCTTCCGCTTACGAGGGACTAGCTCGATCAGTACATGATCCATCTGCATCAACCCTGTCTCGTGCTGCAATGCTGTGACCTTGCGTTTGACCAGAGTGACAACCTGAGTATTTTTTCATCGTCCCGCATACGATTTATAGCTAGTGAGCTTCGCGTTCTTTCTACACTCCTGTAACGCTATGACTTCTGGCTTATCCCCATTGGTCAGGAACGGCTCGTTTGCGCGAGAAATTCCTACAGTTCCACTGCCAGATAGTGTTACGGTACTGAGCCATCTTCAAACTTCTGAATTTCCTGGCATAGGCATTGCCATTGCTCATCTCTGTTCGCGGCCTCAGCCCTCATTTGCTCATTCATCTGCTGAATCATACCATAAGCAGCTTCATGTCTTGTTCAATTTTATCGAAACGTTGCTCGTAGTTGTTTACTGTTTCCACATCCTTCACCCGCTTCTTATTTAGAAGGAGGATCTGCACGTGGTGTTTCCGACACCGATTGTGATACTGCTTTCGCGCCCTGCTGCGTTCTCTCATCTATGCGCTTATTTAGCAAATTTATCTGCTCTCGGAGCTCTCTGTTTTGCTCTTGCATGTTATTGCATTGCGCCTGCATGGTTCTTAGCTGTTCCTGCATGAGCCTGTTCTGTTCCTTGAAGCTTTTACTATTGCGGAATCTGAGAGCCTTTGTCCACCCAACCCACCTGAGAGTTCAGTGGTGAACTTTTCTGGGAGTTCTTAGACTGTTGCTCAGGATGAGAAGCCTCTTCTCGCGTCGATGAGGTAAGCCTGGGGAATGACGCCGAGCGGTTCCTCGGCATGCTCTTAGATCTGTTGCGAGTGCCATCATGACGCTGCTTCGGCGTCTGTTGTTGTTGCTGCAACTGCTGTTTTCGGCGCTTTCTCTTCTTCTGGTTCCGCTGCAAGCTTTGCCTCCCACTGTCGTTTCTTGACAATATATTGCGTGCGAAACAACATCGTACACTTCTTATCTCCAAGTCAAATGTTCTTTGCCACATAAATGACACTGGCACACACTGATGGTCTTCTGGCTCCCAAAGCTGCTCCAAAAGACTGGATTCCATTTCCACCCCTGAGTAAGTCATCAAATGCTCATTTATTGCTACAGAAGGTGTATTTTATATCTTGCTCTATTATGCATTCGTAAGAAATAATGTGACTGACACTGTCAGCAACACACAATTGGTCGCATAGGGTGTCGGCATATTTATGAACTCGGGCACCCTGTATATAATGAAAGGGAACCTCGTGATGAGTAGTGAGCAATTACTAATAATTGAGTTTACTGTTGGCATTATAGCTGGCGACTCAAGCCACAGCACAGCAGGCCGGGTCTGTGCAATCCCCACCCCAGCAGCCGCCCCTGGCCGAGGTCCATCTCGAGACAGCCGACACGAGCGAGCAGGCCACACAGCCACCTGTCCACAGTGTGCCTCTCAGCATTGCCGAGGGTGCCCTGTCAGGTGGGTCTTGTTTGAATCATTATTAGGCCAAATCCTGGAAGCTGTCTGGCCACCTGCATTCCTGCCAAATGGATTGTTCTACAGGCTTGGTCAGCCACTCTGCTTCCACAGTATGCACAATATGCCAGCTTTGGCTGAGTTGCTTGAAAATTCAAGTGTATAACTGAACAAACCTATACAGGAGTGGGCATACAAACAGTACTGCCAGAGCATTCATTGCAAAAGAAAAGTACAAAAGAAGCACTGTGTGTAGCGGGCTATTCTAGGTTTTTCACCGCTCAAGTGCAAAAAGGTATGCAACTAAAATTTTATTGCCAAGCACCAAGAACTTGTCACTTGACATCACATTCAATCAGTGCACAAAGAAGCAGCAGCGAAATCTAGTTCTTTATTGTTAGTGTGACGGATGGCTTGCTGACCAGCCTCCGATTTGCTATCAGGACGGCCTCAATGATGAGCTTTACGCTATCGTTAGAGTGAGTAGCCAACACAGTTGTTTTATCAAATACCAGCTTGCATTTGCATTCTGCACAATGAGTCGCCAAAAAACCATCAGAGCCCTTTAGTTATGAGCTGTAAGTAGATACTCGATCAGGTTACGATCAGGTTACGAGCGCAACGCGTCATTGGAGTCGTATTTAGGTCTAACTCCGCTGACTGCAAGGCAAATTTTGCGGGCAAGAACACCGCATTTGCGCACTCATCGCAATGTGCTTCTTCACAAGCAACGAAGCACGTCACTCACTAGCTCCTCGGGCGGGCGTTCATGCATCCGCAGTGGACCGCACTGTCAAGCTCAGCTCGTCAACACCCCCCTGTCCACTGCCAAAGATTGCTCGAAACAGCGCTAGCAGTTTCGCATGTCGGCGCTCGAAAATGTTATAACAAGCGCAATAGCAGCTGTCGCGCGACGATTTGTGATTGGCGACCAAAAAGCGACTGATGTTCACACCGGGAGAGGTTGCATGCGAGCGACCGGAAGTCTCAAATCTGGAGAGTCGCGTTTGGATCTCGTTATCAGCGAGAACTCTGGAGACCAATGCCAATCAGCTGATCGCCGCCAGCCGAGTGAGCGGAGCAAACCGAGCGCGTCGCATTTATTGTTTTCGTCCGTTCTCGCACAGCATTCCCAAGAGCGTCAAGGAGTTCGATTCAAGCGAAGAACAAGAGATTATCATGATGCTGGTGGGCTGTGCCATGGTGTCAGCGCAGGCAGCACAGATGCTCAAAAAAAGCTGGTGGTGGGTGTGACCGTCCCTTCGATCGCGAGAATTGGCCGGCCATGGAAGCCGTCTACCTCCCGAACTGCGCTGAGACGACGAGTATTTACGAGAGTCATACGTATTCAGAAATGCTCTTGAATTTATCTCGACTTCTCACAGCCTCCAATACAGCACACACGCGTCTTGAACGCGGTGTCTTAAGTCGTTGCCAAGGCCTGAAGCACAAACGCGTTTCAAACGCGCTGCATTGAAGGCGGTGACAAGCCAAGTTCAAGACAAGAAACGATTCTGAATACGGGGGAAAGGTAGTGTCCAATTTATTTTCTGTTTACTTTGACGGTGTTTAGCTTCTTGCGAATGCAGCAACGTAAATTCGACACTTATCTCGAGCTGCTTCGCCCCGCCATCTCAAAGCCAAGTATTCTTTGGTGGCCATGGTACCACAGACACAGAGGAACGCACTCGTTTGTATCTAACAGTAGGCCAGCGCAATGAAAAAAAAATTGAGCATCGTTGATTGGTTCCAGCAGTTTTGCGATTTCAGTCGCACGACTGGAAAATCAGTCAGGAAGCGACTAGCCAAAGCAGTCGCTTTGCGACCGTTTGCGACCCTTCACGACTTTTACGACCAGTTGCAAATGGTTGCGCAACTGCTGCTTGTCCCCGGTGTACACCAGCCTTTACTCCCTAAAGATTTTATCGTAGGATTTCTTGTTTGTAGTGCAAGTGTGCTCATTGCAGTGTCGCTGGAGAAAGCATGAACTACAAAATTTAGCGTTGGAAAAAAAAGTATTTCGAAAACGCGGCCCCCTTCAGCATAGATTTGGCTTCGTGTACAGTAATTGCCAACTATTTTTGTCATTTTATAAAACTATTTTTGTCATTTTATATATCCTCCAGCGCCTAAGAAAGAAATAATTTGTATCTCATTAAGTTGTTGTGTTATTGCCTCTAAATTTTAATTGAAGCACTGTAAAGCCATTTTTAGGGTCTGTGCCAATTTTCATAACATCCAACCAAAAACAAGAAAGATCATTTTGAAAGGCACGTCCACCCTTAGATTGTGTGGAAGTTCTTGCAAGTATGGGATCACGGCCACCTTCTTACTCACGGCTGCCTGAGAATCAGTGCATATGGCACTGACTTACGAGTCTTTTTGCAGTTTTTTTGATACAGTAGAACCTCGTTTATCCGGATCTTGTTAACTTGGAAATTCGATTAACTCGGACACGCAGCGCGGTACCGGCAAAACTGTGTACATTTTAATGGTGTCAAATGCTCGGTAATTCGGAGGGATTTATACGTGCACCGGTTCACTCGGACGGTTCCAGAATGGTCTATCGGGGCTTCATGCTTTCGGTAACCAATTCTGGTAAGCATGTAGTCCCGGCTCTGCCGCCGTAACTGACAGCGGAACTGGAGTTTTGGAGAAACTGAAACCGAATGAACAGCAGCAGAATATGATCATGATTAGAGTGAATGAGGGGAGAAGTTGCCAGGTTGTGCTAGTCATCACCCGGTGGGAGCGCTTGGGCTGCCGGGGCATCCAGTGTCTGCGAAATGCACCGCACGAAACAGTTTGCGCCACGACGGGACAGTTTGTACGGCCGCCGCAACCCCAGTTGCTCGCGATGCCTACACATAGCTGATTTTTTTGCGTAGTGACTTCGCGCATAGGATGTGCAGCTCGGGTACATCAAAAGAGTTGACTGTTAGGCGAGTTGGCGTTTTGACATAGAAACCGTCGTTACATTCTTGGGCTGTGTTTGTGTGCGTTGATGATGGTGTGGTTGTTGCTGGTTTGCTGACTGATGATGACATATTATCGAAAGTGCTTCAAGAGGATCAGGATCGCTGTTTCGATGATGACATTCAAGATGAGCCAACGCAACATCGCACCGTGCAGGAGGCCGCCGAAGCTTTCGCTGTCCTCGCAGAGTTCTGCATAAGTTCTCGCGACAACAAGTGTGCACGCCACCACCGCATGGGATTGAAAAAGATCGTTCTAGCACTAATTTCAATGACAAGGCAGACTAAGTTGACGCAGTTTCTTATGTCTGAGGGTGGCCGAGAGAGGGCGTTACGTGACGGCGTCATCATCATCAGGACTTGGCCGAGAGAGGGCACTACATGATGGCACCATCATCATTAGGACTGGGAGTTGTGGGGGTTGCGTGTGTGGGGAAGGAGGAGTTTGGCCTGGTTGGAGAGAGTGGCAAGACGTAGCGGTGTGTTGTGCGCAATTTAGGGTTAGCGCATGACAAGTGGGGGCTCGTCCGGGATGGCTTTAGGCTCGACAACAGCAGGGGACGACATTCCTAGGCTCCAAGGTGTCGTTAAAGAGCTGTTGCTGGGCACCGACGGCTCCGCCATGGAGCGTGAACGAATCACGGCAGTTGTGCGCGATCGAGTGATGGCGACGCCGCTGCCCACGGCTCCGCACGTGGGAGCATGGACTGTGATTGCTAACACTGGCACGGTTCCTCGGGCCACCAACGACTCTGCGCCTCAGCTCGCTGCTGCGCACCTTCCCCGCTACTTCGATACTAGAGACTTGCAGTCGCTGGAGAAGTTTCTTGAACGTTTGGAAAACTTCTGCCTCGTGACGGGGGTCGCCGCCAATAAGCGACTGACTCACGTGGTACCGGCTGCCCTCGAGGGCGGCGCGAAGTCGTGGTGGCGGTTCGTGCGCGGGTTCGTGCGCGGGTTCGACTCGTGGGAGCAATTCACTGCCGCTTTTTGCTCCGAGTTCTCGTCGAGCGATGCGAAGCGTCGCCTGAGGGCGGAGCTCGAACAGCGCACGCAGCACCGGGAAGAGAATTTGAAGGAGTTTATTTATGCGATGGCTACGTTTTACGACCGCATCGGGGAAGAGGTCTCCGAAGCCCAGAAGGTGCAGCGCGTACTGAGGCAGATGCACCCTCAGTTGCAAGATTTGGCGGAGGGGCATGCCTACAACAACCTCGCGAAGTTGGTGAAGGCAGCCGATGGCCTAATGGAGCAGGCTTGGCGTCGCCTCCAGTACAGACCACTGCCACTTCCGAGCAACCAAGTAGCCAGAGATCTGGCGTTCCGCCCTAGCCTGGCCCCCGACCATCGCTCACTGCCGCAGCCGAACACTATGGCGACGGCATCGTTTGCTTCGTTTGTTGCTGCCCCATCGGCACCGCCGACTTATCACTGGCCACTGCATCCAGCTGCGCTAGACCCGTCGTATTGCCGGGACCGGCAGTACTCGTGTGACACAGCACCTCTGTTCTCACCTTATGGGCCGGGACCGATGCCGCGGCAGGAGCCCACGAGTGGAGCAATGCGTTTGCAGTGCCATTGCTGTGGTGGATTCGGCCACATATATCGTAACTGTGCCATGGGTCGACGAATGGGCATACGTATACGCTCAGTAACATGTGCATGCAGGTGAGCAGAAAAAGAAAATAAGAGATACAGGAAAAAGAAATAGTCACAACTACGGCACCTTTAGAAAGTTTGAGAGCATACTAAATAACAGCATATTCATGTTTCTGGTAATGACTCAAGGTGCAACTCGGGTGTTGATATAAAAGTTGTTATGGCTTTCCAGATACTACAAGAAAGCCAGATAGCGCAACAAGAATGATGGTTTATTGAGCAGCTTGTATTATACTAAGTGTGTGTGACGTTGCAGTGACGTGCCTTGATAACTCTGCATCGCTCTGACACATCATCTCTCCTCTTCAAAATCCATAGCGTTCAGGTTGTTTTTGTGGCTGACTTGATCTTTGCAAGAGTGGTGGTGTT